CCCCCTAGACCCTAAACCCTAAATCCTAAATCCTAAAACCCTAAAACCCTATACCTACACCCTAAAGCCCTAAAAACCTATACCTACACCCTAAAACCCTAAAAACCCTAAAGCCCTAAAAACCTATACCTACACCCTAAAACCCTAAAAACCCTAAAGCCCTAAAACCCTAAAGCCCTAAAACCCTAAAAACCCTAAAGCCCTAAAGCCCTAAAACCCTGAAGCTCTGGCCTGCCGCAGCTGCCATGTTCGTCTGAGCGCGAGCGCGCGGGGAGCGCACGCGAGCGCAAGGATGGGACAACAGCTGGGAAGAGCCGAGCTCTAAGCGAGGAGCTGCTTAAGGGTTGAGGGTTTATAGGGTTTTGGGGTGTAGGGTTTTAGGGTTTAGGGTGGGCACTTCGGCTGTTCCCACAAGATTTGCATGAAATGGTTTTTACGTATAGGTTCATAGGTAGATAGATTGACAGACCGATGGACAGACAGACAGACAGATAGATAGACAGATAGACAGACAGAGAGAGAGATTGTTAGGTAGATCGATCGATAGATAGATTCCGTGAAGTCATACACATAAAACAAACACACAGACAAACAAACAAACAAGCTAACAAACAAACAAACAGACACATATAATATATATATATATATAAGGAGACACCGACCTGATCTGATATGTATGCATATACTACGTATTTAACTATATTCATATTCGTGTTGTCTTCTTCCGGCTGATCTTACCGTAGAATGTGACTTTTTCCGCAAAATGTGGCTTTTTCGGACCGAACGAGATTGGAGGGCTGGTACGGGGGCGAAGATATTTGCAGATTGGAACACTGAAAATGCAGGAGCTCCGAGGCCTCAACGCATTGGACACAGTGATCGGTTTAGGGTTTAGGGTTTAGGGTAAGTTAGAGGTGTCAGGAGTTTCCGAAAAGAAGGGGTACTTTATTTTGCTTTCCTTATAATAAGGACCCTACTATTTAGGGTGCTATATTAGGGTCCCCTATTTTCGGGAACTCCCGTGTAGATGTCAGGGTTTCAGGAGGTTCGGGACGGCAGAGGGCCTCGGCTGTGCTATTGCTATGGCTTCGAATGTCATCATGCATTAGCAGCAGCTTTCACAAGATAAATTAGCTTGAAGCCACCGGTACGCTCGCAAACGTGGCGTTACAATCAGCATGCAGGTCCGAAAGGTCATATAAACATCGGAATCTCCAGATTGCAACATGATTCGCATCTACAGTTCAGGGTTGAAGGCTCATGGTTCCGAAACATCCCCTAAGGCTCCATGTGCCCAGATAGTATATATACTTGGGCCTCAGAGTAGCTAGAGAGGGACCCCTTTAAGGCTTAAGTATCTACTATGAAAATACATGGCGCCTTTGGGATCGACTTCCTGAGCGCCCTCAAGGTGAAGCATGGGGGATACTAGCACTTGTCATCCTAAATCCATGTCCCCAACTTTCTGGGCTTCACTGTAGGGTAGCGTGTGATGTTGGGGTTCCAGGTGGGCTCTTGACTAGATCTCAGGCAAAGAGGCAGAGCAATGATATACAGGCCTGAGCAACTAGAACCAAATATCCAAGGTAAACTATGCTATACTTTTTGTACTAGATGGAAGCCTAAAGACTAGTACTACGATGAACTATTTCAGGGCCCTATAGCTTCTGCATCAGCGCTATGAGCAACACCTCTCCGCACTTCTAAAAACAGGCAGCCCAATCAGCCTCGCAGATGCGGGTGCGCCCTGCTTCGAACCTGCGAAAGGGCCTTAATGGGATTTGGGGGTTTAGGGTTTAGG